CGAGACCAGCCTGGCCAACATGGTGAAACCCCATCTCTACTGAAAACACAAAAATTAGCAAGGTGTGGTGGTGGGCGCCTGTGATCCCACTTACTCGGGAGGCTGAGGCAGGAGAATCACTTGAACCTGGGAGACAAAGGCTGCATGCAGTCAGCCGAGATTGCGCCACTGCACTACAGCCTGGGTGACAGAGTGAGACTCCGCCACACACACACAAAGAAAAACCACCAGTGAAGACATGAGCAATGGGACCATTTATATGTTGCTAGTTGAAGAGTATGTATATGTGTATATATATGCGTGTATATGTATATATGGGTATGTGTGTATGTATCTGTATATATATAATAATAATTATTTTTAGGGACAGGGTCTCACTCTATCACCTAGGCTGGAGTACAGTGGCATAATCATGGTTCACTGCAGCCTTGAGCTCCTCCTAGGCTCAAGTGATCCTCCCACCTCAGCTTCCCAAGTAGCTGTGATTACAGGTATGTGTCACCATGCCCAGCTAATTTTTAAAATTTTTTGTAGAGATGAGGTCTTGCTATGTTGCCCAGGTTGGTCTTGAACTCCTGGCTTCATGCAATCCTCCCATCTCAGCCTCCCAAAGTGCTGGGATTACAGGTGTGAGCCACCATGACTGGCTTGAAGAGAATATTGGTGAAACATTCTTGAAAACAATTTGGCATTATTTGGAGAAGATGATGATATTCTTTATGATGCAGTAATCCTACCACTAGTATGTAGTCGAGAGAGACTCATGCTCATATGCATAATAGTATTAGTTGTAATAGAAAAAACCTGGAAACAATGCAAATGTCCATCAATAACAGATTCCAAAGTAGATAAATACTTTGTGGCATATGCACATGATGGTGGGTGAAAGTAAATGAATTGCAGTTAGATAACCACAGAAATGAATGTAAAGAACCTAATGCTGAATAAAAAAACAAAAACTAGCTGCAAAAGAAAATTTATCATATGATTCCATTTATATAAAGCTCATGTAATGATTAATCTTATGTGTCAAACTGATGGGGCTAAGGGATGTCCAGATGGCTGGTAATCACAACTGGGAACATCTGTGAGGGTGTTTCCATAAGAGACGTGCATTGGAATCAGGAGAATGAGTAAAGAAGATTGTTCTCGCCACTGTAGGTGGGCATCATCGAATCTGTTGATGTCCCCAGTAGAACAAAAAGGTGAAAGAAGGACAAATTCTTTCTCTTCTTGAGCTGGGACATCTTCTCTTGTCCTCAGACATCAACACTCCTGGGTCTCAGGCCTTCAAACTCAAAATGAATCACACTACCAGTTTTTCCTGTTTCTCCAGCTTGCAGATGGCAGACTGTGGGATTTCTCAGCGTCTGTAATTATGTGAGCTAATTCCCAAAATCTCTTTTTCTCTTTTTTTTTCCCCTCACTCTCCTGTTGGTTCTGTTTCTCTAGGGAATCCTGACTAATACAGTTCAAAAACATGTGAAACTAAAAACTATATTGTTTAAAGCAGTGCTGTATAATAGAACTCTTCACAACGGTGGAAATATTCTACAACTATGCTGTCCAGTATGGTAACAAGTGACGTGTGGCTACTGAGCACTTAAAGTATGGCTCATGTGACTGAGGAACTGAATTTTTATTTAATTTACATTTGAACTTAAATTGTCACATGTGGTGAGTGGCTACCATACTGTATGGCAAGGTTTATAATGAGAATAAGTGAAATAAATACAAAATCCAGAATATTGGTTACTTCTGAGAGAAAAATAAAGACAGAATGAGGGAGAGATACACAGGGGATTTCAAAAGCAAAAATAATCTTCTTTCTCTTAAATGAGTATTCTTCTACTGTTATTCTTTAAACTGAGCATATATTTTATAAATATCCTTTTATATGTATTAAATATTTAACAAAACAAATGTAGTGAATGGGGTGGTGTATACATGGATGTTTGTACTGTTATTACTTAAATTCTGTGTAATAAAATAGTTTTATTTTTAAAATTGCTAGTACTCAGACATGCCCCAAGTGGGAGGACAAAGCCTCCCCAAAGCCCAGGCCCCAGGCCCTGGTACTAATGCCCTCATCCTCCATAACCATGGCTCTTAAGGTTTCACTTGGAAAGGAGAGGTAGGATGTTTTGTTTTGAGGCTCACTTAATTTTCTCTAAAAAATTTTAATGGGGTCAAGCCGCAGTGACTCATGCCTGTAATCCCCACACTTTGGGAGGCTGAGGTAGGTTGATCGCTTGACTCAGGAGTTTGAGACCTGCCTGGGCAACACAGTGAAACCCTGTCTCTACAAAAAAATACACACACACACAAAAAGCACACACCTGTAGTCCCAGCTACTTGGGATGCTGAGGCAGGAGAATCACTTGAGCCTGGGAGGCAGAGGTTACAGTGAGCTGAGATCATGCCACTGCACTACTCCAGCCTCAGTGACAGAGTGAGACTCAAAACAAACAAACAAAAAATGTAATGGGATGAAGCTGGTTAAGCTAAGAGAGCTTCTGTGGACAAGGTCTCTTTTTCTGAGAGGAGAAATAAAGTTCTGCTTCTATTCTTAAAAATTAACAAAAACCAACAACATTTTTAAAACACAAAGACAGGAATAAAAAGTGAAGAAGTGGGCCGCGTGCGGTGGCTCACACCTGTAATCCCAACACTTTGGGAGGCTGAGGTGGATGAATTGCTTCAGGCCGGGAGTTTGAAACCAGCCTGGGCAATGTAGACCTTGTCTCTACTAAACGAATTAAAAAAAAAAAAGTTGAAGAAGTGGAAAGTAGAAACTGTAACTGTAAACAACCTCTTGGGTGAAATTTTGCTATAGAGGAAAGCAGGGGATATAAAGGCAATTGAAGATTTTTCAAAGGTGGGAAAAACCAGATATATTATCTGTTGCTGCATAACAAATTATCCCAAAATGCAGTGGCTTAAAACAACAACAACTTATCTTGTACTTTCTGTGGGTCAGAACTTTTGAGTGTAGTTTAGTTGGGTGTCTCTGACTTAAGGTCTCTCATGAGGTTGCAGTGAGGGTGTCAGCTGGCACTGTGGTCTCATCTGAAGGTGTGATCAGGGGAAGATCTGCCTCTAAGCAGATCATGTGGTATTGCATGATTCAGCTCTTCGCGGCTGTTCAACTGAGGACTTCAGTTCCTGGGTGGCTCTTGCTGGCAGCCTCTCTACAGGTCCACAGGGCAGCTTACAACATGGCAGCAGCTTTACCTCAGAGCAACAGGGCTGGAGAGAGTGCTCAGGACAGAAGTCACAATCTTTTTATAACCTAATCTTGAAAGTGGTAGCCCATCATCTCTGTAACTTTCTATTTACTGGAAGTGAGTCACGAAATCCAGCCGACACTAAAGGAGAGGGAACTCACTAAGGATGTGAATACCGGGAGACAGGGTTCATTGGCGGGCATGTTGTAGGCTACCTACCACACCAGAGGATATTTCTCTGCGGATAGGAGTGATCCCACCAAAGAGAGGAAATGACAGTGCAGGAGAGGAGAAAAGGCAGAGGAAATTCAGGAAGAAGACCTCTGCAGTTATGATCCCCAGCCTTTTTCATTTTATTTAGAGAGATGGGGTCTTGCTCTGTTGCCCAGGCTGGAGTGCTGTGGCTATTCACAGGCACGATCTCACTACCAATCAACACAGGAATTTTGATCAACTCTATTTCCATTCTGGGCCAGTCACCCCTCCTTAGGCAACCTGGTAGTTCCCCACTACCCGAAGGTCACCATATTGATGCCAAACTTAGTGCATTAACCAGCTGACATAGCATACTACAGCCCAGAACTCCTGGGCTCAAGCAATCCTCCTGCCTCAGCCTCCTGAGTAAATGGGACTACAGGCATGTGCCACTGTGCCCAGCCCACTGCCTGTGTCACTGCTATTTGATGACTTGGCTGCATATACTTGCTTTATAAGTCTGTTGAACCTCTATTATCTGTCATAGCAAGACCCTATCATGTTGGCTATGGGTTTAAAAAAAGAAAAAATAGTCATCTTGCCCTGTTTACAAAGGCATACACAATCTGACCACATCTCACACACACAAATACACACACCCCAACTGTGTTTCTCCCCCTTTCTAATAACACCTTCTACTAAAATACCTGGGGAACAAGGACTTTGTTTCTTGTCAGCCCACAGAGATCAGCTCATGCTGCAATTTGTTTCTCCAATATCACCTCCTCCACCCCCTGATTTCGGCACAGCTCTGAGCCTCTGCTCCCTTCCCCACATGTTACCATGTGTAAGCCCCAAACTAATATGCTCCTTTTATCTAATGCTGCCAACGGTACCAGCCTCGGAAGGATGGTATGAGCAAGGCAACTGTCCTTTTATTGACCTCTAACTCTCCACCACCTCACCAACTTCCCACACGGTCTTCTTATTACTGAAGGTGTTGGGTTAACAAAGGCAAAGTTCAGTATAGGTCAAGATAAGAAAGAGAACAATTTACAACTGAACATTAGACATCATTCTTAAAAACTTCGGGTTATGTTAAAGAAAAATTATTCAGTGATACTCATTAAAGCACAGGAAGGCAGACTTTATCAGGACCATCCAGATAGGGACACGGACCATGGCAATGGGATTTTGTAGTGGGTAGAGGGACTGGGCTGAAATCCAAACAGAGCAGGGGCAAGAGAGAATTTACAGCCAATGAGCAGGATAGAGGGGTCAGTGGATGGAAAATTACTAAGAGGGAGCATCAGGAGTAATGGGATTCCGGTTAACCGACCTAACAGGATTCTTGCTGGACAGGCCAGGGTGATCAGACATCACCTGGGGAATAGCGGTGGATGAGGAAGCCGATCAGGCCTTGAGAGTGAGGGGTTCTTTCTAAACTGACCTACTCCTCGTCTTCCGACACTTCCGACACCCCCCGGCCGCACTCGCGCCTCCCGGCCAGGCCGCGCGCCCTGCGTGCCCGGGGCGGGTGGGAAGAACCTGCCGCCATCTTGCTCACCAACCTCCAAAATGCGGCTGCGGCTCCTGAGCGTGGCGCTGTTGTTTGTGGGGAGCTCTCACTTACACTCAGACCACGACTCGCCCCCCGGAAGGCACAGCCTTGGCCCCTCGCTGGAACGGGCCGCTGGTTCCCAGCAGACGGAGGCCGCCCGCAAGAGGCTCGGGCGGCGGAGGCAGGGAGGGGCGCATGCAAAGGGCAGTACCTGTTCGTGCTTGTCTCTGGGGGGCCTCTCTTACCTTTTCCCCACCGGTATAGTCTTTGAATTCGGGTATCTCCTTTTCTGGTGTTCCAGTGGCCTTTAACCAAAATTTTGCATACCCAAGCAGTTTCTCAACAGGTTATAATAACAGTAGTTGTAATAGTAAAATGACAATTTGTATTGTGAATCTGTATTTTCTCCTCAAAACATTCTGGGTTTTATCATCCTCATTTTATATATGAATAAGGCAGGGGATAAAGAGTTGAAAGGGAGTGCTATTAGGTGAGAAAAATTAGCCCAACAAGTGAAATGGTGAGCATGAGAATTTGCAGCTCTCGACTCACCGTGTCCAGGCTCTTCAACTGCTGTTTCACACAGGGAAGAAGGTGATACGTGGCCCAAAAATTTCATTTTTATATTTTTGGGGAATGGAGTTTTAAAATTAATGAATTGTGTTGACTTCATGTCTATTTGTAAGTAATCGATTATGGCATATTTGTCTTAACTGTCCAAGTTTCTTTCAAAATATGGGCATGTCTCAGGTATGTTAGCTTGCTTTATGTTTAACATAGGAATTTAAAGGATTTCATTAATACGTTCAGCTTAGGAAGTAACACATAATAGATGCTCAGTCCAAATAATATATCATTTTTATTTCTAGATTGTGGAACAGCACCGCTTAAGGATGTGTTGCAAGGGTCTCGGATTATAGGGGGCACAGAAGCTCAAGCTGGTGCATGGCCATGGGTGGTGAGCCTGCAGATTAAATATGATCATACTCTTGCTCATGTATGTGGGGGAACCCTAGTGAGAGAGAGGTGGGTCCTCACAGCTGCCCACTGCACTAAAGATGCTAGGTATGTATTTAGAACACAACTATTTTATTTTCTTACGGGATATTTTGAAGTGATAGAGGACCATTTAACTTCACCCATTTTCAGTTAAGCTATGTTTGCAAATAGCCATAATGCCTTATACATAGTACAGTGTGTTTGTTGAAAGGAATCCTTTATTATTATTTTTATTATTATTATACTTCAAGTTCTGGGGTACATGTGCAGAACATGCAGATTTGTTACATAGAAGTATACATGTGCCATGGTGGTTTGCTGCATGCATCAACCCATCATCTACCTACATTAGATATTTCTCTTAATGCTATCCCTCCCCTAGCCCTGCACCCAGGAATCCTTTATTTTTTATTTATTTATTTATTATTTTGAGATGGAGTGTCGCTCTGTCACCCAGGCTGGAGTGCAGTGGTGCAATCTTGGCTCACTGCAACCTCTGCCTCCTGGGTTCATGCGATTCTTCTGCCTCAGCCTCTCGAGTAGCTGCAATTACAGGTGCCTGCCACCATGTCCGGATAATTTTTGTATTTTTAGTAGAGATGGGGGTTTCACCATGTTGGCCAGGCTGGTCTTGAACTCTTAACCTCACGTGATCTGCCCGCCTCAGCCTCCCAAAATTCTGGGATTACAGGTGTAAGCCACCATGCCCGATCATGGATCCTTTAAATTAGAGGCTGGTAAACTTTCCATAAAGGTAGTCAATATTTTATGCTTTGAAGGTCATGTGGTCTCTCTCACAATTGCATGAAAACTGGCACTGACAATAAGTAATTGAATGAGCGTGGCTATAATCCAGTAAAACTTTATGAACACTGAAATCTGAATTTCATATAAGTTTAACCTGTCATGAAATATTTTGGTTGATTCAGCCATTTAAAAATGTAGAGTAGGGCACGGTGGCTCACATCTGTTATCCCAATGCTTTGGGAAGCCAAGACGGGAGGATCACTTAAGGCCACGAGTTTGAGACCAGCCTGGGCAATATAGTGAGACCCTGTCCCTATATTTAAAATGTTTTTTAATGTAAAAAACATGCTTTATGGACTGTATGAAAATAAGAGACATGCCAGATTTGGCCTTTACTATTAGACTCTTTGAAAAAGAGACTCTCTTTTGCTTCACCTCCATTGACCCATAAAATCCATTTGCAGTCTGATTTTTGTGGCCAAATGCTATTAAAGATCCACTTCCATGCCAAATCCAATGACTTCATCTCAGTTCCCATCCTTTTTGACCTCTACAGCCTTTGGCAATGTTGACCACATCCTCTTCTTGAAATTATCTCTTTTCTTGATTTATAAGACACCACTCTACTTTTTTCTCCTGCTTCTTTGATGAGTCTTTGTCATCCTTTACATTGCAGTGTTTTCTAGAGTTTGCCCTCTGCCCTCTATCATTCTGTACTCTTTCCTAGAGATATCTAATCTACCTGTTTCAGCAATCACCATATGCTGTCAACTCCTAGGTCTCTCCTGATGAGTCATATTTCCAGCTCCCTACCATGCATATATATTGGAGTCACATTCTAAATAAGTCCAAAATAGAATTTACTTTCCTCTGATACTATTTCTTCTCTATTTTCTCAGTCAATAGCATCATCAACAGCTCCATTACCCAGAGAGTTATCTAATTTCTCCCACTTCACCTCTCCAAGTAGTCCCCAAGGCCTATGAAGGCTCTCTGTGCAGTATCTTAAATTTGCTGCTTCTGTCCCTCAGCCCTCCCTACTGATTAAAAGTAGATCCAGAATATCAGGCTCCATATTCCTAGCTTATGACTTATCATACTTATATTTACACTACTACTATGATAACTATCCTAATTAATATGAAATGGTAGCTCATTGGGGCTTTTATTTCCATTTCCCAAATTACTAGTGATGTTAAGCATCTTTCTATGTGCTTATTGGCCATTTGTATATCTTCTTTGGAGAAATGTCTATTCAAGTCCTTTGTCCATTTTTGAACTGGGCTTTTTTTGTTGTTGAGTTGTAGGAGTTCTTTATGTATTCTGGATATTAATCTGTTGTCAGACACATTACTTGCAAATATTTTCTCTCATTCTGTGGGTCATCTTTTCACTCTCTTGATAGTGTCCTTTGATACACAAAAGCTTTTCATTTTGATGAAGTCAGATTTATCTATTTTTTCTCTTTTGTTGCCTGTGTTTCTGGTGTAATATGTAAGAAATCATTATACCAAATCCAGTATCACGAAGCTTTTCCCCTATGTTTTCTTCTAAGAGTTTTATAGCTTTAGCTCTTATATTTAGGTCTTTGATCCATTTTGAGTCACTTTTTGCATAAGGTATCAGGTAAGGGTACAATTTCATTGTTTTACATGTGGCTATCAAGTTTTCCCAGCACCATCTGTTGAAAAGTTTGGCCTTTCCCCATTGGATGGTATTGGCACCTTCATTGAAAATCAATTGATCATATATGAGAGGGTGTGTTTCTGGGCTCTCAATTCTTCTCCACTGATGTATATATCTGTCCTTATGCTAGTATCACACACAGTTTGGATTAGTATGGCTCTGTAGTAAGTATTTTTTGTTGGTGGTGTTTTTGTTTGTTTTGTTTTTTAGACAGAGTCTTGCTTTGTCACCCAGGCTGGCATGCAGTGGCATGATCTCAGCTCACTGCGAACTCTACCTCCCAGGCTCAGGTGATCCTCCCACCTCAATCTCCTGAATAACTGGGACGACAGGTGTGCACCACCATGTTTGACTAATTTTTGTATTTTTTTGTAGAGACGGGGATTCACTATGTTGCCCAGGCTAGTCTGAAACTCCTGGGCTCAAGTGATCTGCCCAGTTTGGCCTCCGAAAGTGGTGGGATTGCAGGTGTGAGCAACTGCATCCGGCCTGCACTAAGTTTTGAAATCAGGAAGTGTGAGTCCTCCAACTATATTCTTCTTTTTCAAGATTATTTTAGCTATTTGGAGTCTCTTAATATTCCATATGAATTTTAGGATGGGTTTTTCTATTTCTGAAAAAAAAGTCATTGGGATTTTGATAGGCATTGCATTCAGTCTAAAAACTCTAAAAACTCTTTAGAAAGTTTACAGTCTACAAAGCAATATGGGGAAATCCACATTTTCCCATATTGGGGAAAAGATTGCTTTGGGTGGTTCTGTCATCCCTTTTTTTTTTTTTTTTTTTTTTTTTGAGAGGGGGTTTTGCTCTTGTTGCCTAGGCTGGAGGGCAACAAGAAGACGTAAATAAATAAATGAAAATACATCCTGTGTTCATGGATTGGAGAACACTATTATTAAGATGACAGAACCTGCTGGGTGCGGTGGCTCACACCTGTAATCCCAGCACTTTGGGAGGCGGAGGCAGGTGGATCACAAGGTTAGGAGTTGGAGACCAGCCTGGCCAACATGGTGAAACCCCGCCTCTACTACAAATACGAGATATCAGCCAGGCGTGGTGGTGGGCACCTGTGATCCCAGCTACTTGGGAGGCTGAGGCAGGATGATCACTTGAACCCGGGAGGCGGAGGTTGCAGTGAGATGGGATCGTGCCACTGAACTCCAGCCTGGGTGACAGAGTGAGACTTCATCTCAAAAAAAAAAAAAAAGAATATTCTTCAACTAGATCAGCATGAAGGGGATGCTTAGGTCTGAGTTCTTTCACCAGTAATATGAGGTACTGGACTACTTGGCCAAGTTTAGTTATTAGTGTCCAGTTTTTCGCACTAGTTACTGGAAGACAGGCTTGTCCTTTTTCATCAAGTTTATGGTGATAATTTTTTAAGTATTTTTTGCAGGTTTGGAAACTCTATTGGAAAGTTGATTTCTATTTTGAAGGCCCCTTGATCAAATAAAAGGTTGTCAGGAAAAAAGAAAAAAAAAAAAAGCCTTGCTAAGTCAATGAGTGAGCTTTATCATATTGGATGCTTGTTATTATAAAATACTTCATTCCACATTGGTAGATATCTTCAAGCTCTCTCGTCAACTTCCTGCTGGCCACTGTGTTGGATTTGCCTTCCCCACTTCCCACCCAGAAATCAGTTTAGTCTCTAAGAACCAGTCATGGTCTTGGCTCCTTTTCAAAGCACTGGATTCTGATACGCAGCCAGATTCATCATATGAGGAATGATATTGGGGGTGGAGCTGTTTATAGCTAGGTGTCTCTGAAGGCATTGTTTTTGTCGTCGTTGTTTTGTTTTTTGTCTGCCCTTTTTTCCCTTTCACTGAATGGCTTCCTTATAACACGAACTTATACATGATACGTTATGGTCCTTCATTCTATCTCATAATCTTTCAGCTTCAGCCCCTATTGCTAACTGGCCTTCTCATCAATTTTCATGATGAATTATCTGATTATCCCAGCCCAGCTTTTCAATCTAGGTGATACCACCATTGCTCAATTTATGAATAAACCCTTATTAGTGGCCTATCTCTTTCCCAGAGAGCTGTGGTCAGGGGACCTGGGTCATATATTAAATGAGAGCACCTTGACAACAGAGTGAGCAGGGCACTCATCCTTGCACAGGATATAGATATGGGTATATAAGCACCAACAGGTATTCCTTCTTGTTTGTTTGAGACAGGGTCTTGCTCTGTCACCTAGGCTGGAGTGCAATAGCACAATCTTGGCTCACTGCAGCATCAATCTCCCAGGATAAATTAGTCCTCCCACCTCAGCCTCCCAAGTAGCTGGGACTACAGGCGTGTGCTATCATGCCTAATTTTTGTATTTTGTAGACATGGGGTTTTGCTATATTGCCCAGGCTTGTCTCTAACTCCTAAGCTCAAGCTATTTTCCTACCTCAGCCTTCCAAAGGGCTGAGATTACAGGCATGAGACACTGCATCCAGCCACCAATGGATATTTCTAGAAAAGGGAAAGAGGATATTGTTTGAATTATCTCTATGTAACTGGAACTGAGAAAGAATATGTTGTGGTCCAGCAGCACTGATATGTATTAAAACTTAGAGGCTTTTTCGTACAGCCAGTCCTAACTCACATTAGTAGAAATAACCTTTTGGATCTATTTTTCTT